GAGCCCAGCGAAGGGCCCACACCTGAGGCCTCGGGGCGGACCACAGGGGAGCAAACAGGGCGCTGCCGGGACCCGGGAAACCACGGCTCCAGGGAGGATAGCAGGGCAGACCCAGGACACGGGAGAGGGAGGAGGAGGAGGGCATCTCGCAGGGGTCCCCGAGGAGGAGCGGCGACCCGCCACCTGCTTCCGCACCGCGGAGCGTCTCCTTCTGGGATGGGCAGCTCCGCTCCCTCTGCCCCCGGCCTCCCCCCCGAGTGGGGAACAGTTTTCCTCTGGTCTCGGTTCCCAGCACCCCCTCACCCCCATGTGCATCCCCCCGGCCTCCTGACAAAGCTGATGTCCCACTTAGCCGCACCCCGTGCCGGCTGCGTCCCTGCGCCCTGGGTGGTGGGGGCATTGCTGACTGGGCTCCTGGTTTAGGGGATCTCTTCCCCACTCTCACCTCTGGCTCCCCATGAGGGGGCCTGGGAGGGCTCCCCTGGCCTTAAAGGGGCCTGAGCCCCATCTCACTCTGATATGCCCACTCCGCCGTCCTCCAGCAGCACCTGTGGCCATGGATAGGGCTGTTTGGATCATGGATCAGCAGGAGGGTGGGCCAGTGAAGTACAAGCAAGCGGGGGAGCTACAGGAGGGGGCAGGGCAGCAAGCTATAGGGGGGCGGGGGGCTACAGTAGGGCGGCAGCGACCTACTGGCGCTGGATTCTTGGCTGGGCTACTAATAGAAATATAATAGAATAAGTTGTATTTTTTTAAAAAGAAAGTTTGGCTTTGATATAAACCCTGCCCTGACTTACGTGTGGCCGGCCAAGAACCACTGTTTAGAGCAAGAGCAGACAGAGTGGGCTTTGGGGCACTTCTGACCATCAATGTGGAGTCACTGCTCGCCAGGGCAGTCATGTCAAGTACTGTGTCCAGACCGAGGGAGTGGCGTGTAACGCACCCCACAAAACCACAGCCTGGACACCCGCATAAGGACTCCACCTGGACACGGATAGGAGTGGGGCCTCCGCTCCCGGTGGGCAATAAGGACTCGGGCTCCGACCTCCCAGTGCTGGAGCCTGGCTGCAGCGCGGGCAGTGCTCGGAGCCCTGCCGGCCTTCCCCCCAGACGGGTGCGGCCGCCCGATTCTCTCTCCACCTGCGATCCTCCTGTCCGAATTCCCAGGCGAACTGCCGGCTAGTCCTGGGGGGCGGGGCGTTCGCCCAGGATGGGAGCCCCCTTCCGGGTGGCACTAGGCAAATCAATGGATGGACAGCTGGAGGCTTCCCTGTGCTGTGAGGGTCGCCTGTGGTCTCCACGGTGGCGGGCGGTCGACAAGGCAGGCCAGGCGGGAGGAGGCTTCGAGGTTGTGCGCTTGGGAGGATCCACGGGAGTCGCCCTGTGTCTGTGGCGGTGGGATCCCCGTGTTGTTTACCCGGTGGCCCGTCCAGGTCCGGTGCCTGACCTCCACGTCCACTCTGTGTCGTCGCGTCCAGGCCCTTCCTCCGTTTTGGGTCCACCCCCTCTGGATTTGCGTGCGCCACCCCTCCCGAGGGTCGCCACCGACGCCCGCACCCCCATAGGCGTCTGCCCACCGTGCCCCGAGCACCAGCCTTCTGCTGGGCAGGGGTCGCCCCTCACACCACCACCCCCCCCCACACACACACACACTTCAGGGGGTGTGGCATCCCCAGGCAGAGTGCTCTGGGACGGGCGCCGTGTCGCGGGGGTGTTCTTCCGGCAGGTGCACCAGGAGAAAAAGAGAACTCACCCCACCACCCCACCACCACCACCACCCCCGGCAGCCTCCCCTGGTCTGTCTGGGGTGAACTCTGTAGTCGGATCACTTCGACCTTGCGCAATACGGCCGGGGCGGGGCGCGCGGCGGGGGAGGGCGGGCTAGTGCCTGGTTTAAACCCGGCGGCACAAGACTCCGGGCGCCATACCGACACGGGGCTACCGCGCGTGCTGTTACCCTCTGGTCCTGGCTGTGCCCGCTCCCACTTTGGGTGCAGATGGAGCGGTCTGTGGGGCTCAGCGCGGTCTTCTTGCTCTTGCTTCCACTTTGGGACCCGACTACTGCACACTGTGAGTTGGGGAATGGAATGTGGGACGAGGGACCGGCATTCAGACGGGAACTTGAGGAATGTCATGGCGGGGAGCCCACGGTGGGGTTCGGAGCCTTCCCGCCGGGAGGGGCGTAGACCCGCCGACCCTCGGCCATCAGCTCTGCGGGCGCCTTTCCGTCTCCGGGACGTCTGCTTAGCTGCCGCCTCTTTCCAGGGAACAAGGACGGGGATGGGGGGTGGGGGCGAGGAGGACGCTGCCTGCGGGGATTTCTGATGAAGCCCCTTCCCCACCCTGAGCCGAGACGCCCGCCCCCCCTTTCCCCGCCTCACTAAAGGCTTCTTCTGAGCGTCCACAAAACATGATGACAGCCCTGGCTGGTTTGCTCAGTGGATAGAGCGTGGGCCTGCGGACTGAACGGCTCCGGGTTCGATTCTGGCCAAGGGCACAGGCCTGGGTTGCGGGCTGGAGCCCCAGTGGAGGACGTGCTGAAGGCAGCCGATCAATGATTCTCTCTCCTCGGTGATGTTTCTCTTTCTTTCTCCCCCTTCCTCTCTAATCAATAGAGAAATATATTTAAAACAAAAAAAACTTAAAAAATATTATCACAGAGTTTGACACAGTGACACAGTAACTCAGTGGCGCTGGTGCTGGCGCGATTCCCAGAAGGGAACCGCTTTTGCTACTAGCGGCGGAGGCGGCGCGGTCGCTCCTAGCAGCCCCGGGG